ATAACTAGACAAAAATTTTAATCACTAACTAAAAATAAGCACTTACATTTACCCAATATTAATCTGGTTAAAATATTATTTTAGCTTATCGTGTTACATGCAATACTGACTTTTCGACGAAAGAAAACACGAAAGAATATGTCTTTTACGGTCTTCAAACCAAAGTGAATTTGGCGCAGCGTTTAATGAATTCAACCACAAAGCGGGTATAGAATTACAAATTGCAATGTTGTAATTTAAAAAGTTATGGTCTTTTTTTTTTCTTAGTACGATCTTGAGAAACAAAGAAGATAAAATTTAGATCTTTCCACTCTCTCCTCTCTTTACACACAGGGAATAGACGATTAGATATTCTAATAGGTCTAATACAAGGTGGAGTCTTAATAATTTGATAGGGGTCGGAAATTTTCTTGTAATAAAATCGTATGTTTTAATAAAAGCGGCAATCCGAAAATCATTTAAAGGGTCAAAAATTTAGAATTTAAGTTAAGAAACACTTTGTAGCTGTCTTTCTCTGTCTCTCTCTGTCTTTGTCTGTCTGTCTGTCTGTCTCTCTCTCTCTCTCTCTCCAGCTTTATTTTACGCCCAACCTCGTCCCCAGAACTCCTTGCACTTTCCAATAAGATAATAGCGCGCAAAGAAGCCCTGACGCATCTGAATTATCATGCGAAAAATCTTGCATAAATGAAATATTGACTCGTGTAACTCACATAAAAATCGAAAGTACCTTCGTTAACCATCATCTTATGAAGAAGTGCTAGAAATTCTGGTGCTGAGCTTAAGGTCAAACCTTAAAAAATATAACTTGTTTATACAACTTATTCAAACAACCATAAAAGCGTGCAGATAAAAACTGTGGTGATAAAGAAATATAACAAGAAAAATAACAAGACCAATATTTCACCATCCCTAAAAATAGACGGATCACAAAAATCGCCAGGCAAACAAAGCCATAGTTCGACCAACCAATCAGAAAAATTTTCGTTTTATACTTATCAACTCTTTATTTAAAGCCAGAAAATATTTCTAGCTTGTAAGAGTTTTTGTGGGGTGGGGCGATAATAACAGTTTAGTGATACATGTCTTACTAATTAACATACAGCTAAGGAAGAAGAGGTGGATTCATGCCTTTAAATAGGTATTTGCGCATAAAGAACCCAACTGGAATTGAAATTCGGCTCTCCGATTAACAATTCCGAGGCATTATCCATTACAACATCCGCACATACAAGCTTACAGCACTCGATATTCCCAAGCGGTTACCCATCTCGGTACTGACAAAGATATACGTTGCTTAAAATAGTAAATAAAAAATGAAGAAAAATATTACGTTAGTCTTCAAACAATATTAACGTCATTATCAAAATATTAAAAAAAAAACGCCTATCTTTCAAGGTTTCTGGGATTTAAAAAAAGAAAAAAGAAATTCCATTTGTACAAAAATATACACACTCTTCATCATTTTTTACAGTCATCGTCTTCAAATCGCTTGCTCAAATCGTAACAATACTTTCGATAAAAAATCCGATTATGATCTCCATACTATAGTCTTAAAAGTAATTCATTTTGGGAACTAGGTGATCTTAGCAATTTTGGTATTTCCAGCCTCTTATGTGTGTTTGAAACAGACTCCTTAAATCGAATCAGCGCAACCAGTGTTGCATTTCATGGCTTCTTATGTTTACCGTTTCCCCTACCTTCCTAATTTGGTTTGTTATTTTAGCCAGTTTTATATATATATATATATATATATATATATATATATATATATATATATGAATGGTGGTACTCGTTTGGAAAAAACCTTGGCTAGCTCAACTTACAGTAGAACAAATCGGTACCCGAGGAAAAATGTGGAATAAAAAAAGAAAAAACCAAGAACATTAAACCAAGGCGAAAACAATCGTCCAGTGTTTAAGCTTTCAAGTCCAAAGAAATAAAAACAAAACGAGTAAAAAGACAACTAGGTAAAGTGCTCAATACACTAAGTAGAACAAAACCTAAGATAATCCTAAGGAGCCTGGCAAACCTACCTAGGTTTCACCTAAACGGATCTTCAGGGTAATGCCGACATATATATATTAAAATATAATAATGAATCGAATCTTTAGAAATCCATTCGGTCAGGTTATAATTTATTTCGTGGACCTTAAATGTCCATCTCTTCATACCTGTTTATATAAATAAATATTTTATAAAACAGATCTGAAGAGATGGACATTTGAGGTACACGAAATAAATTATAACCTGACCGAATGGATTTTAAAGGTTCTGTATTCATTATTATATTGCTCTGTTCTTACATTGAGCTCTCTTTGGATTTATATCCTCCTTGGAATTATCCCTACTAATTATCAATTGATATTTCATATATATATATATATATATATATATATATATATATAAACGAGTTGAGATCAGAAGGTTACTGGACTAGGTTTTCCTGGCAAATTACAATCATATTGGAAACTTGATCAATTGCTTGGCGACAGTTATCGTGAAATTTTCGAATATTTTCCCTTTCTTCGTTTTCTAGTTGTTTTTTTTTCCTGCTGATTAAGCTCCGTAAAATCTCATCATATTAAAAGAATCTGAAAGACCATAGAATGTTCGTCGAATAACTGACAAGCAAATTTGATGAACTTAACGCAACATTTCATGCAGTCACGCTCCCCGGATTTGTTAGACGTCGTAAAGATCACAGAGCCGTTTGAACATAATGTTACAAATACTCTTGCACGAAGTATACTCGCAGGCTGTCTCAATAAGCTGAGTACCCTTATGTAAAAAAAGAAAACACCTATTGATATACGTAAAATTGTGTAATTTAACCTCAGTCAAGGTGAGCAGTTTTATTGTCTTAGATCTCAATAGATAACTAGAACAAAAATTAAGTTAAGTCCAGAATACTTATCAGAAACCGACTTATATACGGAGTGGAAATAAAGTTACTATATAGTTACTTATAATAAAAAAGCAAAGCAATGAAGCAGGTGGCTTGCATTTCGAACAGCACCGGTAATTAATTTACTATTGTTTAACATAGCATTTTATTGTTATTCGCCAGAATTAACCAGAACCATTTTAATAATAAATTTCTTGACAGTTGATTAATTGCTTTGTCTTAATTGTTATTGTAATTAACTGTATGGTGAATTTATTGCCACCCTTTATATTAGCAGATATCGATCAGCATATCATGAGAGACCAAAATGTAGCTAAGAACATAAGACCAATACTAGTAGATAACACCAATGCAAGGAAAGACTCAAAACTCTAGAAGTTAATATTATACAAAATAAACAGCCCACATTAAATAAAATAACATTCACCACTGGAGATGGTATCTTGAAGTGCATATAATATAATTAATGTGCGCATATATTAGTATTAAACAAATATATAATAAATATATAAAATAAAATAAATAGCATTCTTTTTCTGCGGCCTCGTTCTCAATCGCCGTTACATATGACGTCACGCTAGACCATTCCAAACATCCAGCTTCCCAAAGACTACCGGGACGTGAAGAAAGGAATTCTAATCACCACACAGACACCACATCATTTCTTGATAATGATTGGAAAGTCGAAATTATTTGAACAAAAATAACAACATATGAACTTTGAACAGTTTAATCAGAACTTCGAGTGCAATTCTCAAGACCTTATACGAAAAATTGGAAACGTATAATATAAAAATTAAACCGAGAGACCTTGTCCGTTCTTTTTTAATCAAACTTGTTTGGATGAATACTTGCTGCCTGAATATACTTTCTTCACACACACACACACACACATATATATATATATATATATATATATATATATACACACACACACACACACACACTGGGTGTAACAGCAAAATTTTCCAATTATTAGATTAAGCTCTGAACCGTTGTATCTTAGAAATGATTAAAGATATCTTACTGGAATTCTCCGAGGTTTTTATAACTCCATTGGACTCTATTTTGAGCAATAAGAATGTATCATTACTCTCCAAGGTTAACAGAAGAACCGTGATTAAATTGATCATAAACGAAAATGACATGTTTATCATTAATTAATCATAGCTAAGGAACGGAAGCTCATGAAGGATTGAAATAAAGTTCACACACATATATATATATATATATATATATATAATATCATCCACAGACAGACTGTTTCGCTGTTTACAGCTCATCAGTGTGGCTAGACATCCGTTTGCCTCTAGCTAGGATCGAAACCCGACTGAATTGGTGCAGTCGGACTTTAACCACTAAGCGGCGTAATGGTAGGAATGGAGGTAGATTTTAGCGTATTTACTTTTGTAAACATGACAGTGACTCAATTCGCTTACGCGAAGAGTCTCGCTATATTAGCTATAATAGTCACTGTTTACAAACCCACACCTCACTCCCAGAGTGCTCAACTGAAATCAAATTCAGGAGCTAATATATATATATATAACATTATTTTAACAGATATATCTTTCAAAGGATATTCCTGTTTTTTAAATATTGATATTAATGTCGACCAGCCTAAACCAGCGAAAGTCCGATAAAACAAAATGTGCCTTGTTTTTTGTAGAGATCTATGTAGCTTAACGGTTAAAGCACACCAGATACTTCTCAGGATGAAGAGAATTTCTTTAATAAAACTTTCTGTTGTCTAAGCTGGTAGACGTTAATAACACTGTCAACAGATCCGGTTGTATGTTCACTCAAACACGAGTATGCACTAAAATAACGTTTATCGTTTTAAAAATATCGGATCAAAATCCATTAATTTTTTTCTTAATAATGAGTGACTATAGATCTACGATAGTCATTTTTTTTATTTCTGTAACTCTTTTCGGATCATTTTTCTGATTTCCCGGTGAAAATATAAATTATCCGATGTCTGAATACTTTCGGCTTTCAAAAGATAATATCTAAAAGATTTTGTTGATAATGTTGCAACTATAGCTATCAATTTTTCCCTGTACTATATTATCATCTTTCAAATGGGCTTTAAGGCCACATCGCATAGAAACAGTGGTTCTCGTATGATCAATGAAGTTAAGCAACGTCGAGCCTGATCCGTACCTAGATGGGTGACTGCTTGGGAATACCATTTGCTGTATGAGATAATAGCTCAGAATTGTTAATCGGAGAGCCGTGTTCCAATTCCTGTTGGGTTCGTTATATTCATGGATTAATTAGTAAGACTTGTATTACTAAATCATAATTAATCTCAAAAAATTCTTACAATCTGAACATTTTCTGGCTTTAATAACCTGTAAATTTAATTAAACTAAATCTTTTAAATATCGCATTTTCACGCGTCATGTCAGTGTTTTTAATCTATCGTGTTTTCACGCGTCAGACTGTCGTTGTAGCATTTCTTTTCTTTTATATATACAATCTCACGCTAATACATATGCGTGTTATTTGAGAAGCGCAAAAAATCAATTTATGTTTTCTTTGTTTTATCCGTCCTTGGTTTGACGATAAACTACATCCGCGTCCAGGGTAAGACGATAAACTACGTCCAACAGCAAGGCCACTCATCAGGGGGCTTTGAGGAGCGTGGAACCACCTCTTAATTGTTGGTGTTCCCAGGTTCACCCTGACCCGGGGTGGTAGCACCTGTTAGGGTCTCACCTATGGGCAAATAGTTAACCCCGAAACTGAGGTAACAAGCATTATAAAAATGTAAAAATAGGTTTTAATGCCAGAAATACTTCGTAAAAATTATTGCTAGAAATAAATTTTTGAAGAAAAAAAATATTACCAGCAATACGTTTTTGAAAAAAAAATTACCAGCCAGCTATACATTTTCGAGAGAAAAAATATTTCCAGGAAAAAAAGTTGCGGCATTAAATGATCCATTGGGGTTGATATGCCGTAAACCAAACCAAACCAAACCAAACCAAACCAAACAAACCAAACCAAACTTTGTTTTATCATAAGATTTTGAGCTATTTATACTGGATTCTGTGATCGTTTACAAAGGAAAAGAAAGAGTCATAATCTGGTATTTTTGCTCAGCGAGCAATTCTTTTACACACTTCCATTTTTCGCTATCACCCAAAGTAAGGCAGTACAGCCACTAACACACAAGGGTTTACAGGGTGTGGAGGAATTAGGAACACAAGCATTAATAATGAGGAGAAAGAGAAAAGAGTAATCAGGAGGACAGTAGATAGCGATTGACATTGCATTTAAACTCTTGCAGATTAAAGTTGGCTGGAAAGCATGGAGCCGGGAAGGAGTTCTACAAGAGAGAATTACGAGATAAGAAGCTGTTAGCATAGAAGTTACAGATACCAGTTCAACTGCAAATTAGTGAGATTCCGCCGTCAGTCTAGTATTGCACTAAAATTCATACAGTCTAGATACCATAGCGAAAAGCTCATCTGAACAATTACCATTAATGTATTTATAATAAAAAAAAAGCACAGAGAGGCAACCTAACGGTGGCAGGGAAGTGACTGAAACTGACCAGCCAGATCAGGACCAATAATATTGCTGATTCTTCAATGGATCTTATCAAGAAGCTCCATGAATATAGCAGGGGCACCGGACCATATATATTCTAAGCATAAATTTATATATATGCAAAATAGATTCCAGATAGAAAAATTGTCTCACCCGACACAACGAACCGACATTCTTAGCAACTGATCTAGTGATGGATTCAATGTGGTCTTTCCACTTTTATGTCAGCTAAGGACATTAGACCGATAAGGCGCAATAAGTCACTTTCTTGGGAGGATAGCATCAGCCATGCTGATGGAAGGTAGATAGGAGCCTCTCAGATGATTAATGGAGAGCAGTTTAGTTTTAGATATTAAAATTAAAATTGACCAGCCATCTTTTTCTCCAGTTAACGACAGTCTTGAGGTCGTTTTGTACATCAGCTGCCATTTTGACCTTGTCCGACTGGTAAGCCTTACTATCGAGGCAGGAGTAAATGCGATTGTCGTCAGTGTAGTATGCCATAAATACCTGTAAGAGTTTGTAACCCGCCCAACACAGACATATTAATAGAATTTTAGTTAAGCTTCTTTAAAATTCAAAATATTTTAAAATATTTTTGTCTTTTGTCGACAGTTTAATTTACAACGGTCGACCGACTAAGCACCTTGAGTAATTTATGTGTGCGAAGGTTTCCAGCGAATTTTTTTTTTTATTGCTAACTGAATGCTCAAATATGATAGTGGGATCTGCACGTTAAAAACGTTTCGTATGACGGGTTTCGTTCAATAGAACTTCATCCGATTAAAGGGAGGTTTACGTTGATGTAACTACACATGCGGGCGAAGAGGAGGGGACGCTAAGAATTTTAACTTTAATTTCAAATTTAAAAAATACGTCATGGGTATATAGTCTAGACGATTTCATTTATTCTCTTCTTATTTTCTTCTTGTTCATGTTTTCAACACTGTTGTTCTTATCTATCTATATCTGTCTCCCTCTCTCTCTCTCTCTCTCTCTCTCTATATATATATATATATATATATATATATATATATATATATATATATAAAACAATAAAATATATTAAAGATAATTGTTGGACCTTGTCCATTTTATAGTGTGTGGCGTCATTTGTTTACGTTTAGATACACTTCGAGCAGATATGACCGTTCGAGGGAAATCGTGGAAAATTGTAGTTTAAAAGCAGTAAAATCGACCTTGCTAACCAGACCCTACATGTTCGATTCCTGTCGGAGGACACATATTTTCTATGAAAATTTCTCGGACATTCAAGCCAGTAAATGTTGTTAACATTGTTTATTATAAACAGAGTATTTACTTAAATATTTGTGTCGATATAAATAACCTATAATAAATATATATATATATATATATATATATATATATATATATATATATATAATATATATAATCATTTAATCATGTCTACCTATTCATTCCAAAATTTATAAATAAATTTACGCTTTCAGCAATGTAAAATAAATATATATATATATATATATATATATATATATATATATATATATAGAGAGAGAGAGAGAGAGAGAGAGAGATAGATAGATCTGGAACAAAATTGAAAATTGCCTCATATGGGGTATAGATCTATTTTCACCGACGAAAACTTTGTTGTGTAATACTGTTTATTGAGCCTGTTATAATAAATACATTGAGCTCTTTGTGTGGATCAGTTTAATATTTTATATTACCAGGATCTACTTGAATGAAATACCAACGGATTTATTACCATTGCTATATATATATATATATATATATATATATATATATATATTTATTACCATTGCTATATATATATATATATATATATATTTATTACCATTATATATATATATATATATTTATTACCATTGCTATATATATATATATATATATATATTTATTACCATTACTATATATATATATATATATATATATATATATATAATATGAATTTATTTATTTCGTTTTGCCTTGAAAAAAGTTCACATTGGACGAAACGCGTCAGCAAATAATACAGTTTTCCTATTGTCTTTTACATTTATAAATATTGTCTTTTTCTCCAGGTTAACTCTGTGAAATTTTTCTATATATATATCTATATATATATATATATATATATATATATATATATATAGAGAGAGAGAGAGAGAGAGAGAGAGAGAGATATATATATATATATATATATATATATATATATATATATATATATATAGAGAGAGAGATAGATAGATAGATAGATAGCAAACGGTAAATACATTTTTATATTTCAACAACAATTTCGTTCATTAGGACTTCATCGGACTAAAGTGATGTCTACGTTAATGCATCTACTGATGTACACGAAGAGGAGGGTAGGCTGGGAATTTTAAATTCTATTCAATTTCTTTTTAAATATATGTTTTTGATATATAGTCTAACCGGTTTCATTAAGATTCTTTTCGTTCATGTTTTCATTACTTTTGTTATTAAATATCCCAAATTATGACAATAGAATATCTGCCAAGTACAGTGAAATGTTGGGAAAACCTACACATAAATTTACATGTGCATGGTCTAGCGATTAAAGCACTTTCTATAAATCCTCGGTGATCGTAAGTGAACCACTGTTTTAACACGACATGACCGTAAGCCTACGATGTGTGTTTGTGTTAACAGAGAGACAAGTAGTAATCGTAATATATTTGTTACTAAAAAGTAACAAATATATTACGATTACTACTTGTCTTATATATATAAAAAAAAAGTGACAACATATAAGGAGAGAGAAACACTTGCTCCCTAAAGGAAAACGAATAAAAAAATATAAACATGTGACAAATAGAGAAGTGGTTTTAAAAGGTAGCGAAGGAAGATACTGAAAAGAAAGAACGCCGTATGAAAAACAAAGAGATAGTGAAACGAAGCCGGTGGAGTCAGCAAGTGTCGATGTATGGTAGCCACTACTGAATTAAAAACGCGAGATAAGTTTCCGTGGCTGGTGGTGGCTATTTATTTTACAAGTTGTAGCAGTAGAAAACTCTGGTTGGGTGACGTGTTGTGGGTTGGGGACAAGGCAGACTGCAAGAGAAAAAAGAAGAAGAAAGAAAAAGAAGAAATCCCAGCAGCAACAGCTTTAGTCGTCAAAGTTTTATAAAAAGGAAAAGAAAGGAAAAAAAACTTACAATTAAGTCAAGAAGAAGAATTAAACACAGAAAATAAAAACTTCTTAGATCAGTGAACAACTGTCGGTACGTACAGATATGAAGTGCCGTCGGAGGTTATCGTGTCTTCTCTTCTTCGGATTTCTGTCCCTAGCTGGTCGAACGGCTTCTGTATCGGTCATTGTTGTTTCGTCAAAAACAAAGACAAAAAATGTCATATCTACACCCACCTTCCGAAGCCCATCGTTTCGAAACTCATCTTTTGATTTAAAGAATTCCGTGATGTATCCTACACCGTTGATATCACAAGACGTGTCCAAGAGTACCGTCCTACCCTCCAGGGTGGTGACTACACCAATCGACCGAAAGGACTGTATTGTCGGCGAGTGGAGTCACTGGATCCGTTCTGGATATTTCCAAGTGAGACATCGATCCCGAATACAGGATCCCAAAAATGGAGGGTTAAAATGCCCGCCTCTAGTGACCGCACGAAAAATTAAGAG